TAGAACCATCTAAAGTTCCAACTATATATATTGCTATCTTTTTCAAGAACCATCTAAAGTTCCAACTAAAAAGATAAAATGATTTTTCATTACTTAATTGAAGTAATGACCCTCATAATCTGAAGGAAAAAAAAACATTGGATAACATAACCACAAAAAAATTTTTAAGGTTGTCTAAAAATAATATATAAGGCATATCCAAGTAAAACTTACAAGTAAACTAGATATAAAAATGGTGATTAAAGTTATTGCTTCCTTAAACTACCTATTATGCATTCCTTTTTACATAACCAAAAACAACATGTATGAATTGAAAAGTTTACCAATAACATTCCAACATAGAAAACAAAATTATTTATAAGAGAATATGATATTTTTGTGAGAAAGAAAAACAAAGATAATAGTTTAATTAATTTGTTTTCTCACCTTGATGATGTGAAATTTTATAGTATTAAAGAAATAACTATCAATACTTATTTCATATGAGAGATATAGATCCTAAAACAAGAAAGATAGAATTAAATAATATATTTTTTAACCTAGGGGGAAATATTTTTATCGATTTTGGTGATTGTCGATGTGATTTTCTTTTTTATTTTTTTATCCGTCTCTTTCCATAAATTAGACCGATGGATTAAGTATCACACCTTGAGTACTTAACTAGAGCAAACCCATTTATATATATATATATATAGAAAATTGACTTTTTAGGTATTGATATAACTATTATCACTATCTCTCAAAATGTGGCAAAATAAAATATGCTTGCCAAGTCAATAAATCTTACTCATATTCTTGAACTACTACCATATTAAATGGATATCTAATACTCATTTCAAATTGATTAATTGCAGCTCCAAAATCAAGAATCCACCAACTCTTAAGAACACCTTACATATATTTCATGACTCTAGAATTTCAAAAACCTCTAAATTACCTATCATATTTATTTTTGAACTTGCATTTACAAAAAGATCATTACAGTGTCTTTTTGGGTCAACTTCAACTAAAAAGATTTTTTAACAAAAAAGTAAAAGATGATTAGGATGCATTATGTAGGATAGTCAATCTATCAATCTCGCTAACTTGTAAATTTAACTACAATTATTATTTATGATGATTTTGAGGTTTAATGTTGTAAAGAAACCGAATCTAAAGGAACTAAAAGGATTGCAATAGGTTGGAAATTTCTAACGAGAAAACTACAACCACCCAACCTTGTTAGGTTATAGGATTGGAAGGTAAATAACATAAAATAAAAGATGAATTAAGATAGAAGTCAAACTCTTTAATCTAATATCCAATCTAAATAACAACATTAAATCATAAAACTAAAATTTTAAGTAATTAAACACTAAGATTAGAAGACTACAATATGAATAAAAACTTGACAACAATAAACTAAAAATCTTTATATAAATACTATTGCAATCTTCATAATGTCGAATTGAATAAACTTGCGATAAAAAAAATTACAAGTATTCACAAATTGACACTCCGGATATAATAGTTGATAAAATAATTATGGATGATGGTGATTATGAGCATGAATAGAGAATGAAAAACCAACTAACAGACTTACAAATTATCGTCTATTAATAACAACATACTAATTACTACTTGTAAGCTATTGTCTATAAATTATCGCCTATTAGCTACTACCTAACACGTTTCGAGTGCAAAAGTTAAAATAGTGCTCCTTGAGTTATTTGCAATTTGTAAGAGTTTGCTTGTATTTGGTATTGTTATTTGTTGATCTTTTTTTACTATAGTTTGTATTTATAGACTCCCTGCTACTCTATGACCTCTAAGTAATGGGCGACTCTTCAATGCAGATCGTAGTGCTTGATGTTTCACAATGTCTTGCTCTATTTTCCTTATGCTTTATTACTACTAGAAGTCTATTATTTCTTCAACTACTTGTACACTACTTATAGTTAGTCATCTATTCTATTTCATATAGGACTTCCTTCACATTTCATTCAACTTCATAGTCCATCTCTTATTAGTTTTGGAGAGAGCTCTAGTGTTCTCACTTGAGATAACTAATTGAGCTTTTGATGGCATGCTAGGTTTAATGTTCACGTTGGGCTTAATAGGTTGGTAGATGGTCTTTCTTTAAATGAAATAAGCCCAATGGACTCTTAAGTGAGATTAAACATTAGACATATTTCAAGAACTTGATGGGCTTTTGTCAAGTCTTGTATCCAATTTATTGGGCTCGGATCCAAAATAAATTTAGGTGTAACATAGTCTTATTACGCACATTCTAAAATAAATATATTACAATTTAGTCATTGCATTTTTTTAATGATTTTTAAGGTAGTCTTTCTATTCTTAAATATCATAAGTTATTCTTCTAACCAAATTAAGTTGACTATCAATTTTTATTTTGAAATTTCCAATTAGTCTTATTAAATATCCTTTTAATTTTATCTAATATATTAATTTTTTCTATATTAGATAAAATTAAAAAAAATGATTATAAATAAAATATATTTTAGGAAAAAAATTAATTGCATAAAAGATTAATAAAAGACCAAATTGGATTTATAAACCAATAGGTGTAACAATTGCAAACTTTCTTAAAACCTTACCACACAAACAAGTGTTTAGAGACTTAGGACTTAGATAAGAGATCCAAGAATCAAAACGAGTAGATATGAACTAAATCAGTATCTTTTGCTTAGAAAGTAGTCAACTAAATGGAAAGGTATCAAAGTCCTAGAGCTTCTTCGTGAAGATGTCATCACCTTATTTTTACGCTATAAAAATATTAAAAATAAAAATAAAAATAAAAATTAAAGGTGAGGCTAGAAAACAAGGCACGCGTTGGGCCTTATGCAAGGCTTAAACGTTCAACCTTGTACAAGGCCTAAGTGCGCGCCGAGCTAGGCTTGGTTGTCCAACCCAATTACTTCTTTAAGTTAGAATAGGAAAATTATTGCTAAACCAACCTAGGGTTCTCTATATATACATACTAACCTACCCACACGCACGCGCGCGCACACACCTAGACCAAAAAAGGACTAACAATCAAAAATCAAAGACAAAATAGAAGTAGAAGAACAGCTAGTCGTTACTCGCCATCCGACGACTTCCCATAGACATGTGCCTAACCTTGATAACCATCCGGCCAAGACAATTTCAACACCACAAAAACCTACCAATTTTGACCACTAGAGAGTCATCACGCGTCGTCCGTATCCTCGATATCCTCGTCGCTCATAGTTTGGTCCCTAAACTTCAAATCTAGGTAATTGCATCCCTATGTCTTCAATTTATTTTGGTTTAATTTTCATCTAAATTTTTGTGTTGTATGATCATATGTTTTTGGTATTGATTAGATAATTAACATAATATTTAGATGAATAATTGAATTGAAAGTACTTAATTTGGGGTTTAATTGAAAATTTTTAACTTTAGAGTCCTTGATATTATTTGATAAATTTAAATGGCTTTAAATTTATTTATTTATTCATTTTTATTTTTTGTGATTTATAGGTGTTTAAAATTCAATTTTATTAGGGTAGGGATTATTAGTACTATTAGGGTTTATCTTACTTTTATATATACATCTATATCATCATCATCTTTAAATATATATATATATATATATATATATATATATATATATAAACATTGGGATTGACAAATCACATAATAATCTTATTTTTTTTATATGAAAGTCTCTCAAGAATTGTCGACTAACGATGAAACTAGCAATAGGCTAGTAGTTTTTCTAAAAAATTAAAATATGCCAAGGATGTTATCGAAGTCTATTGGCTATTTTATTTTTTATGATATTATCTTATATGATTTGTGGTTTTTACATATTAATTTTATTATATTTTACACTTTATGTGTTTATTTTGTGTGATGTCATTCTAGATCGGTCTAGATGAAATAAGTTTAAGACTTGAAATCGACTTTGTTCTAGTGACAAGCTTTTTTTATTTTTATCTTTATTATTATTGTTGCTTATATGGTTTAATATTAATTTTATTTTATCCTTCGATGCTATTAATTTTATTGTCTTGCAAACTTATCTCTAAATTAGGCCTTAGACATTGGAGTCTTGATATGGACTCGATATATATATATATATATATATATATATATATATATATATATATATATATATATATATATATATATATATATATATATATATATATATATATATATATATCGTGTGTGAGTGTGTGTGTGTGTGGATTGGTTATTATGAATTTTGTAATTTTTCATTACGTAACTTGGTAGGTGAGTTTGAGATTGAGGTCCAAACTTGATTTATTTTTATGTTTTTATGTGGAATTAGGGTTTAATTGGCTATGAGCTTTAAACCCTAACTTTTACCTTCCCAAGTGGGTTTCAATGGCTAAATGACAAATTAGGTGAGAGTGAGTTTTTTTTTTTTTTTAAGTCTCTAAATCACCTCTTAGAAAAAGCCCACATAATTATACTCACAAATAAGAATAAACAAGTGGACATATGAATGGACTTACATAAATAAATTCTCTTAACCAAGAAACAAAAGCTGATTCTCTTAACCAAGAAACAAAAGCTAACCTCGTTACGAAGGCATATTAAGGTGATCTGTAATCTTTTTTAATTATTTAATCAACTTTTGCTTTAAATTTTTAAGACTAATATTATTTTTAAAAAAAAAAAACACTAAGTGATGACTCTACATTTTCGAACATTTACACATTTTATTTATTGTGATCACGAAGAGATCATCGTGGGACACAAAAAATAGATGTCAGCCTTTAGCCCTCTTAGATGCAGGAAATCTAGGATTCCATAGAAGCTGACAATAGACAATAACTCCCTTTCGAACACAGGTTACAACTGTTGTGCTCTCCCAAAAACAACTCTTCTCAGAAGGTGCTGAGTTGGAATATCATTCTAACTTTCTAAAATAAATAAATTATAATTTAATTCTTGTATTCTTGATAATTTTATTCGTTGGTGCCTTTGTTTTTTAAAATCATAAGTTACTTCTTGACCCAGAATTGAGAGTTCACAGCACATACTGCCTTAACGTGCAAGCCACCAACGATGGCAAGGGAAAACAAAACAAGCATAAGGAGTAAGAGGTCCGCTACCTTGTTGCCAGTCAAAAGGCATAAGTGGTTACAGCACTCCAAATCTACATTAAAATTGAACACCTAAAATCAAAATCCACACAATACATAGTTTAAGGATCTTCCACACATTTTTTCACTTCGAAGTATTAACACCACTCCCCAAATGCAAGTACAAATTACATGAAAATCATGGCGAAGCTACTGCCAGAAGCATCAAAATTCATAACAGCATAACTATTTTCATGGCGTCAACAAGCTAAAGGAAGATGAACACGCTGGCCCAAGTAAACGAGATGCCAAGTAAGAGCCATTAAAGTCAGTATGTTGAGGAAGGACGAATAGGAGTTTAAGGTCTTTAACCTTTTACTCATTGTTCTAATTCTTGACCTGATTTCCTCTTTATCTCGGTTTTCTTGTGCTGGTGCCGGAGTTCTTTCCTCCGCTCTGCCTGTGGTTGTGGTTGTGCCTGAAGGATCAGTGGCTGTGTGTTCATGACGTGCCTCCCTCGATTCGGCAGTTGGGCTTCCTCTTCCTCTCCCCTCTTCCTTTTCAATTTTCATTCTCTCAAACATTGCCTGCATATTATGTTCAAGGAAAGAAAGAGCTAAATAAGCCGCGCAAATAGAAACAATTGGCACATCCTGCCCTTATTATCTATCCGTCAACAGCAACTACAAGCTAAGTTTTTCTCTTGGGAAAGAATGCCCTATTATGTAACAATTTGGGTAACAAATCTGACAGGCGACAGCAATCCCGGCCAGCATCGAACAGACAATTGTTACTTAGAATTTTTCATGGTTAAACAGCAGGACCAAAGACTTAATTATATATCCTATAACTAAACCCCATCCCATTTTTTGGCTTTGAATGTGTTGTTCTGCAAATTAATTCAACACACCACTCATGTCTGAGAGAAAGAAGATGATTGTATACTTCCCCTGAACATTTTTTTATCTCCTGTATCTTATGGCTAAGAACTAAATTACCTTGACTTCTCATTTTCCAAACCTATAAGGCTCCAGCAACGAAAACAAACAGAACTATGACTGTCATCAAACATTGTTGATACATGATATATAGCTGGAAAATTAATGGTCTAGTCCTGGCTAAATATAATCTAGTGTTATTTAGTTTAACCATAAGGTAAAGGAAGAGAACGAAATAAAATAAAGATACCTTTGTAGCCAAAGGCTCCAGATAGAGAAGGTTGACCAAAACCACCAAAATCGAAGTCAAAAGATTACAAGCTTGAAACATTTCAGCCTTGTTGGTGAACAACCTTCTCCTATGCGCCAGCAAATGTCCCAACAAAGCCAATCCAATAGAATAAGCCATGGCTCGGAAATAAACAGGATATATCTTGCTCTGTACGACCCCAAACTGTTGCCTTGGCAGAACCCTAGCCAACACATAGCTCGAAATAAAAGTAACCCAAACACACATCCCATAAGCAATGCCAAATCCCAGCAAATTTACAACACCCATCAACGATGTCATTGCCTCTGATACGTACCTTTTTGCACGATTCACAAAATTACTAACCCTGTTTGTGGCATGTTTTATGCTTTCTTTCGCTTCTTTTGTTTTCTCCACAACCTGCTCTGTTACATCCTCCGCTGTCTCTGTGATGTTACCTGCAACATCTCCCCTAATCGTCTTGCCTAAGTCTTTTGCTTCTTTAACTGCATCTTTGGCTTTCTTCATGGACTCCTGTGCACATTCTTTGGCAACATGAGCTTTCTCTGCCGTTTTCTCTTTTACTTTCTCATATGCGTCTTCTACAAATTCCTTGGCTTCCCGTGCTTTCTCAGATGCAGTATCTTTTGCTTCCTCGTACAAACCTTCGACTTTGTCTTTGGTCCCATGCACCATCTCTTTCTGTTTCTTATACAAATTTTTCACTTCCTCTTTGGCCTCATTGTCCATCTCTTTCTTCTTATCCACCACATCATGTGCCGCCTCAGAAACCTTGTCTGTGGCCTTATGTAGAACTTTAGCCATCCTGTGTGTACATTTGCCTAGTTTATCACATACAAGCTCCGTAGGGTAGTGTTTCTCATCACCAGAACCATGAGAAATGCCCTGGCCAATATTTGGACTAACATAATCGGCTGCTTCTTCCATCTTTTCTTTTGCTTTCTCAACCAAGCTAGGCGATTTAAACTTAACACCACTATCTTGTCGTTCATGTTGTTGGGGTTGTGGTTGTGATTGCTCTGGTGAGATTGAGACTTTAGTGTTGTGGTGGCCATTTTTGTCGTAAGTCTCCACAATAATGACCCTATGGCCTTCTTTCTCTATAACATCTTCAACCTGCTGTTTTTGTGGCTGGTTTGCTACTGGGCTTGGAGACCATACTTCTGCTGCAAACAGGGAAGTAAAAACGAGACACAAAGCTAAAAGATTCATCATTTTCTGTCTCTATGTCTATCAGTTTCTTTGGATTGATTGATTAATTTTCCAACAATTGGAAGGGAAGTTTTGAAACACAGTTGGTTATGGCATTTTAAGAGACGTTCGGATCAGAACGTTTATTTGGCCTTTTTGGCGGAGAAACGAGATTTAGACCACGTAGCATGTTGCGGTTGACTAGCTGCTACGTGTGATAATACATGACCAGGTAGTCAATTACGTGTCTCATCGTCAGAGCCTTTCTGTTTTTTGAAACTTGGGAGCGCTTAAAGTTTTTGATAGCGTTGATAGTTTCCTTTCCTTTTTCATTCTTCCTCAATTTTTTCTTGATTCCTTCCTCGGTCTATCTTATCTATAATAAACTTTTATTTAATTTATTTTTATATAATAAGTTGAGTTTTTAATATGGTTTATATTTTTAATAATTTTTAAATTCTCAATCTATTATTCGAATCATTGATTTTATAATTGATAAATCTTTTAACCAACTTGCTCCGATTGAAGGGTTTTTTTTCTTTCATGTCTCAGTCCAGAGCTTTTTAATAAAAAAATCGTGTGGTCGAAAAAATTGTTAAAAAATAGATTAGAGACATAATAAATTCAATTAAAAACTTAAAAAACATATTGAAAAAAAAAAAATATATATATATATATATATATATATATATATATATATATATATAAACAAATTAAGCTATTTATAGGTAAATTTTTTATTTTGTCAAGCTGTAGCTCCCTTTATCCGATTTTGCATTTTAACCTTTTCTTTATACAAAAATACTTTTGATGCTCTATTTTAAATTATAGAAATCATTTTTGAAATATATAAGGGGCAAATCGCAAATTTTCATTTCATAAGGGGCTATAAGGCAGACGAAGCGCAAATAGTAAAAGAAGAGGAGAAATTCCAATTATAGGCCACAACAGAGACAGTAGCTCATCCGAACAGGATATTGTTACTGAAGACTGAAACCAAATTCCAAAGAACACCCTGGTAGATATCATTATTGACAAGTTTTGCTTCCTTTTAATGGTTTTATCCCCATCTCTTAATGAGTTGTAATTTCAGAACTAGTTTGTAATTTTCTCCAATATTACTGCAACGGTTAATTATTATCAATTAATTAAAACTATTTTAGTCCTATACCCTATGTTTTTGTAATATTTCTAAACTAATCCAGCATAGAGGTCCAAAGAGAGTCCCTGAACCGAACCAGGTATCTTGACGAAACAAATTATAAATAAAGCCCAAGGCCAATCCATGGATCCCAACCCGTTACATGGACCAGGTTTCTAATCCATTGTCACCGCTACCTTTCAGATGAGACAGACAACACTGAATTTTTTAGTCAAAACATTGCACAACATTAGAGTTGGGTACTATTCGATTAAAATCAAAAAATTAAACCAAATCAAATCAAATTAGTAATTTTATTTTGGTTTTCATAGAAAAAATTTTAAAAAAAACAAAAATTATTTTAGTTCAGTTCAGGTTTTTTTAAAAAAAAAATAATTTTCATTGAAAACCGAATAAGCCAAACAGCTCCAAAGTTCCTTGCCAAATTCCAAACAGCCCCAAAGTTCCTTGCCAATTCCGGCTATAACAAGTTAACAATGCTTTACAAATATTTGTCAGACATGAGAAGGAAAGGATTTGACTTGTAGGGTCCACAACTGCTGCATTGGCATTGAATTATCACGCCAGGAATGAAATTGAATTGCAGGCTTTTTGATGAAAATGCCAAAGAAGAAGAAGAAGCGGCATGGGTATATTTTGTTCATTGCATAAGCATGCCAGGAATGTTTGGGAAATTATTTACTTGAGTTCATTATTATATTATTTAATTTTGTACTTTAGTAAAATAATTAGTTAGTCATTTATTATTTTAAAAAATATTAATACTGATTCTAATTCTAATAAAATAATAAATTAATTCTTTATTTTAACAAAATCAATATAGAGTCTAATTTTAATAGAATAATACGTTAATTCTTCCTTAATTTTTTCTTGATTCCTTCCTCGGTCTATCTTATCTATAATAAACTTTTATTTAATTTATTTTTATATAATAAGTTGAGTTTTTAACATGTTTTATATTTTTAATAATTTTTAAGTTCTCAATTGGTTATCAAGGTCATATTTTTTATAATAGATAATTTTTTTAATCAATTTGCTCTCATTGAAGGTTTTTTTTTTTTTAATCTCAATCAAGACATTTCAATAAAAAAAAGCTTACGGTAAAAAAAATTATTAAAAAATAAATTAAAGATATAATGAATACAATTAAAAAATTAAAAACTTAATCTATCATATATAAACAAATTAAGCTATTTATCTGTAAATTTTTTATTTTGTCAAACTTTAGCTCCCTTTATCCGATTTTGTATTTTAACCTTTTCTTTATACAAAAATAATTTTGATACTCTAGTTTAAAATATAGAAATCATTTTTGAAATATACAGAGGCAAATCGCAAATTTTCATTTGATAAGGGGCTATAAGGCAGAGGAAGCACGAAATGGGGGAAATTCCAATTATAGCCCACGACAGAGACGTTAGCCCATCCTAACAGGATATTGTTACTGAAGACTGCATCCAAATTACAAAGAACTCCCTGGTAGATATCATTATTGACAAGTTGTGCTTCCTTTTAATGAGTTGTAATTTCATAACTAGTTTGTAATTTTCTCCAATATTACTACAACGGTTAATTATTATCAATTAATTAAAACTATTTTAGTCCTATACCTTATGTTTTTGTAATATTTCTGCACTAATCCAGCATGGAGGTCCAAAGAGAGTTCCTGAACTGAACCAGGTATCTTGACAAAACAAATTATAAATAAAGCCCAAGGCCAATCCATGGATCCCAACCCTTTACATGGACCGGTTTTCTGATCCATTGTCACCCATACCTTTAAGATGAGACAGACAACACTGAATTTTTTAGTTAAAACTTCACACAGCGTCACTGAAAACCTTTTTTTTTTTTTTTTTCCTTCACAACGACAGCTCCTTCCATTCAAATCAATTTTTTTAAATTATTTGCCAGCATTTTGCCTTGCAGTATATCGATCTAACTCGTACAAAATTAAAAATGCACTAGTTTTGATTCTAAATAATGCATTTATTTATGAACACTAAAATGCCTGAAAAGGTAGATGCAAAGTTGGACCTCCTTCTGTTTCAGTATCTTCTTTTGAAGATGTTGCGTCTTTTGGAAAGGAAGATGTTAGTCGTGGAAGGAAGCAGCCAAAACTTGGCATGTGCTCTTGCATGTGGGTGTATGATTCTCCAAACAAAATACAGAAGAGAAAGAAGCAAACACATGCATCCATGCCCTTAATAGAATCTATGCATTCTTATTTTTTTAGCATCTACTAATGTATATAACTTTTAATCATTTCAATTTTTTATTATCAACCTGTTGTCCAATGCTCACACACATGGTCGGGCCAAGATGGAGTCGCCATTTCCACCAACCTTAATCATTATTTCAAGGAAACAAAATAAGTGGAAACAATAAGAGAGAGTATTGATGATATAAACCATTAGTTTTTCTTTTAATAATAATTAATAAAATTTAATTTTGCATTTTATTATGTGATGGAACATTTCTCCTACTTTCATCATATGACCCCTAGGAGGTTTTATATGATTGATTAAATTAAAGAGGAAACAATAAGAAAGAGAATAAACATTAGGATTTTTATAAAATTGATTAAATTTAATTTTGTGATGGAACAATCCCAGAAAATTGGTAACTATTTTTAAATTCTTTGGATTTAAATTTTACACTAATATTAAGAGAAAAAAATGATAAATATACTCATCAATTTTTATATAATATTCAAAAAATTTCATCTCTCGCTTAGACTTTTAATTACATAGTATTTATTTTTGACAATTTTTAAAATGTTCAATCTGTCTTTCTAATCAATTTTTTGAAAAATAAACTATTTTTATCAAAATATCTTTTACTAAAATTAAAAAAAATACTTAAAGGCACATGACTTACATTTTTTATTTTTAAAATCTTTAAAATTATTATATATATATATATATATATATATATATATATATATATATATATATATATATTTACATTTTAATAAGAAACATTTCGATCAAATGAAATTGATCGAAATATTTTATATTTTATATTTAGCTAGAAAAATTGATCGAAATGATATATCAAATATTTCAAATACTTTTAAAAATAAATAAAATATAATTAAAAATTTAAAAATATATAAAAGACTTTTAGTATTATATAAAGCAAATAAATATATTTATCTAAGAATTTTTCTTTTTTGAAAAAAAATAGTTTAACTTCGATTAACAAGTAAGCTAACAGTACTGGTAAATAAAAAAAACAACAATCTTATAAATTAATACACGCAAGAAGATTATCGTTTTTATTCACTGTCCGATTGGTCACACAGAAAACAGTTGTCCCTCCGCATTTGCAGGTTTCTTTTTTAACGGTGGCCATAAATAAAAGGGAAATTGGGTTTGGATTTTGGAGTTTATCACGTATTCACTAGCCTTTGAAAAATATAAAAAGAGACAAAGACAAGATCAGTGAGTGACTGAGTGTCCAACCTGAGTCTGACTAGTTTTGCCGACTGACTATGTTCAGAAGGTAGTTACGTCTTTGGGATCGCGATCAGCCCAAAATTGACTTGTTTGTTTGGCAACTGGAACGGCCATCGTTGCAGACAACGTAGTTTGTTTTTACACTGACACGTGTCTTCCCATTTGGATGCATGAGAAACTTCATTAGTCATCATCAGTCATCACCATTAAAAAACAAAAAACTCGCATTTTTCTTCCGAACTGGAATGGAAATAATGGAAAACCTGATAAATTTACGAAGGCAAACACCTAAACTTCTTCTTATTTTAGTGGCATAAGAGGATTTCTTGAAACAGGTTTCGTATGTAAAAATAAAGTTATTTTTCGATCGGATCCTAAGTAGTAAATTATCTATTTTTATACCACTGTATTTACCCCTTTTTTATCCTAAAATTTGAACCCTACTAAAACCTTTTTTCACAACTAAGTGATGAGTTTGTTGATTTCAACGTAATAGATCTTAATTCCATAATAAGTATTTAAAATAAGTTTTTTTAATAATTAAAAAACCTTTCGATAACTAAGTTAATTTTTTAAAAAAAAAAATGTTTAACTCGAGTTGTTGTAAACGGAACTCTTATATGTAGGTAATAATTAATGATATAACTATTTTGAATTAAAAAAAAAAACAAAACTTATAATTTTTTATATACCGAATTTAAATTTAAAAAACAGAACTTGTAACTTTAGATTTGTTAGCCTAAAAAAAAAAAAAAACCGGCAGTGATCAAGTTTTGCGTGGTGGGATGATAAAATAGTCTTTTTCTTATCTAAACAGTCGCTAATGGATAATATCTATTTGAGGTGTTCTTAATGTTCACAATTCATCATTAGACTGCTGAAATTTTCTATTTCTTTGATTAAAAATGAATGATGGAGAAACACTTTGAATTGGATTTGGATGATGTATCTGGGTCTTTTCAAACAAACAGATGGAATCTTCGATATTAAGCTGGACATGATTATGGAAGTTGGACTCTTTTTTCTATGTGTTGTTACAGAAGAAGCCCATCATTTTCGTGGATATATCCCTAAAGACTACATCATGTAATGTCATTTTGGAAAGCTTTGCAAAAAAGAGTTAGCACTTTCATTTTCATATTTCCAAAATTTAAAACTCAACTTGTTGGTAGCGCATGTAACACGATTCACTTACGTTAACATATAAATTCTTCACAGCACTTGACAAAATTTTTTCAATAATTATTTCGTTAATTTGAATTTAGAAAAAATAGTATTTGAGTTTTATATTTTCTATATAGTGAATTATTTTTAATATTAATCGAGATTAAATTTATTATTTTTTAAAATAAATTAATATTAAAATATATTTAATTTTTAATTTATCGTTAGAGATGATAATTGACTGAGTATAAAATGGATACCTTCTTTATCCGATCCAATAGACATTCATTAAAAATATTCAAAAGATATTGAAGTAGGTAAAAATAAAAAATATATATATACTCACTAATATGATTAGCCACTCTTTACCCTATTAATACTCATTAATTTATTTAGATTTTTTTATTAACATGTAGGGATCTAATCGCATAAAATTTAAAAATTAAGGATCAAAATATTTTTTCAAAAACTTTGAGAAGCTAAAAAACTTATTAAAAATGATCAAAATGCAAAAAAGAATTTTAAGGATTAAAATTTTTTTCTTAAAAACTATAGAGATTAAAATGAATATTTTTGATAAAATAAATTTAATATGTATTTAATAAGTATTAAATAAGATGTAAACTATTGTGAGTTAAGTAAAAATTTATGTGATTATTTTTTAATAAATAATAGATGAAATATTTTTTTAATAAATAAGACAAAAAATTTAAACTAATGGATTAGATATTCATCCATCATCTATCAAACTAATCTAAATTTGATACTAGTAAAGATAACGAGTGTTAAATGAACAATAAGACAAGAGAGAAATGGAGATGAGAGAAATAATTAATTAAGTTGTATTAAAAATTGTTAAAATAAACATATGACTCCACCCGCTCATAAGACACCTGTAAGTCAAACGTCAATCACTGAAAATCTTGAAAGCAACCGTCTCCACTCAGTGCCCTCTGACGCAGACTTTCCCTGTCCCATCGCATATTCTGCCGCGCTTCTTTTTTTTATTATTATTTTTATTTCTGAACCTTCCTCCTCGAAAAATACTGCAATACCCTTATGTCTCTTCCTAAGTTTTTTATCCACTTACCAAAAAAAAAAAAAAAGGGGGCAGTTCTCTTGGTCCAAGGCCATGTTCCAACTTTGTAACTATCTTTTTTCGGATTGGAGTGTGTGCAATTTATTAGAAATTGTTAATATATGCGCTAGCTATTTTTCAAAAGAAAAAAAAGATTATAGGGCATAAAATATACTGAATTATTGAAGTTTTATAATTTTTTTAATTAATTTTTTTTATTTCTATGATTAATTTCAAACAAAAATTTTTGTTAAATCGTAATTCTAAAGTCTAAGAATTTTATTTATGCACCAACCAGGCAAGACACGGGTTGGTGGAAAGAAGGGTTATTATTGGTATCATAAATTTTGTAATTGTCGGTGATATGGTACCAAAGAGTTGCCAACCAACAAGCTGTAGACTGTCGGATCAATTGACTATTGTTGTTAGACATGAAGGAGTATGCATGATCAATGGCCATAGTGATCTGGTAATCGTCAGAATGTTTTGGTTAGATAACAGAAGCTATATTAAATTCTATCCACAGATTGTACCCCTACCACCTTAGAAAACTTTGTGAAAAAGGTTGGGGGGACCATTTGGACGCAACTTCTAAAGGTGGCTTTAAAATAATGCAAATCAAACAAACAAAAGAACAAAAGAAAAAAGCAACCAAAGTGAAAAATAATACAGAGAGAGAGAGAGAGAGAGTCATAGAGAGTCATAGAGAGAGAAGGAGAGGTTTCTTCTATGTTAAGGTCCAGGCAACTAGCATAAGGGGTGTAAATAATATATGAGTAATTTACAATTTACTCCCTGTAATTTTAAGAAATTTATAGGTTAGTCCTAATAGGTCAAAAAATCAAATATTTAATCCCTATATTTTCACATTCACTTATAACTTAGCCATTCTATTAGTTTTCTATGACGGAATTGTTTAGCTATTATTTTAGGTATTAATTGAAGTGTAACAAATCTGCTAATTAATGAGTTGATGAACAAATTAAAGCTAATAAGGGATTAACTTATAATTTGGAAACTAAAGGAACTAACTTATTAATTACTTGAAAATATAAAGACTATATTTTAATTTGCTCATAATAGATCAATTTTAAAGCAAAGCCTTTTGGACAGGGATTTGGAACAAACACTTAGCCATAAGAAGATAGCCCATGGTAAATAAGAGTCGACTTATAAATCATATTTATAATGATCAAAAAAGAATTAATGCCGAAATTTAAGTTGACTAAAAACAGTCTTATTGCAAAAAAAAAATAAAAAAATTAGCACCTAATACTAGCTGAATTGTGAATATTTGATAGGTGGGATTAAGCTAAGGACTTAGTGGGTCCCCTATACTCTATGAGGTTCCATCATCTCTAGGGGTTTAAAGATAAAAAATCGAGGATTACGTATTCTTTTTAATTTTTTTTTATTATTATTAGATCCTATTCTATCACGCATTTTTTTGGTTCTATTGATGAATTTCCAAGCTCCTTCGTTTTTCTTTTTTATTTTTTATTTTTTTATTTTTTTGTGTTTCCTCTTTGCTATCATACAATGAATCAAGCATCTATAACACATTATTTTGAGTCATTCTAAAGTCTCCAATTCTTGAACCAAAACGAGAAAGACAAAGTTTTCAGGTTAAAAGGAATTTCTGCAACCTAATGATTATAAAAAATAATAATAATAACTTTTTGATGAAAAAAGAAGAAGAAGGACGAAGGTTATGTTTAGTAGCTTTATTTAGATATTTCTTAATTAAAATTGAATTTTTTGTTTAAATGAAAAGAATAAAAACACAAACTTGAGTTGTAGTGTAATTGGAATGTTATTTGCCCAAAGCCTGTGACTTTGAATATTATGAATTTGAATTTATTTCACTAAAACAGAAACAGAAGCTGGAAAAGTCATGTTTGATTGAGAGAGAAGCAACACTCAAATCAGAATTAATGTACTTTATGAATATCGATTGGGCAATAACTACCTTATAAATGCATTAGTTGCATCTCTCTAGGCCTTTCAAGCTAAACAAGGTACAACACGAAGGTTTGAAAAATCAAACTGCAAACATAAGGGATTAATCCATTGGTAAAAATATAAGTCGATATCTTAGGTTTAGGATTCGATTTTTATTATTAATATTTTTAAAATACATAAATTCGTAAGTTAGAAAATGCCATTAATTACGTAAAAATTAGTCTAGAGACATCGTTATTGTGGAACCTTAAACCAGACGAACCCTGGTTGTTGACACGTTGCAATTACTTTTTTAAGTGATTTGAAAACAGCATTAAAAAAGTCAAGGAAATGGGCTTTGCTGAGTTCAGGACAGTAATGAGAAAGCAGGCAGATGAAACTGACAACAATGATCCTTGCCTCATGACGAAATTCAGCAATATTTAAAGAAAAAAATAAAATAAAGGGAGAATCAACCTGCTTTGCTTGGTAAAAAAAGGAGAACATAGCAAATTCCTGACCTTTTAGGCTAAAAAGAGTGCTCATTCAACCTCCATAGTTGCATTAATGAATGGATCTGCCTAATACCCTGAAAAGGAGAGATCCTATTGAAAGGGAGGATTGCTTTTTCGAAAAACCTTTTATTGGTTTCATGAATGAAGCTGTGATCACTTTCAACACCGAATTAATTTGCATTTCTTCCCCCTTACCTAAGCTTTATCTTTTATCAAACCCTACGTTATAATTGCGAAAGAAAACCAGCACCAAGAAATGCAACCTTCTCTCTCTTCTTTCTCTCCCCATCAAAGAAAATCAACACCCCACACATAAGCTTACAAATGTGAATTGTGCCCACCAGAATCTGCCTCTATCAAAGATATATATGTCTTAGGGGGCCACCTCATTCCCACCAAACTACCGTTAATCTCTCTTTCTTACATGTGTGTTTCTGTCTTCTTACTCCAGAATGAGCACCTCATCTCCACCCCCCGCGCTGGTTCCATCCATTTCTTTCTTCTCCTTTAATCCCACTCTTTCACCACCCACCACCTCTGTTCCTTTCATTTTAGCTAACAAATTATCGTCCAAGTAGATTTTACAGAACCCTTCAAGCCTATCCCTCAACCACCATCACACCATGACCAAACTAGTTGTAGAAGTTCATGATGCATGTGACCTTATGCCCAAAGATGGCCATGGTTCAGCCAGTCCTTTTGTAGAAGTTGAGTTTGATGAACAAAGACAGAGAACTCAAACCAAGCCTAAAGAACTTAACCCTGTTTGGAATGAAAAGTTAGTTTTCAATGTAAACAATCCTAGAGATCTTCCCAACAAGACCATTGAAGTTGTTGTGTACAACGATCGACAAGGCGGTCACCTCAAGAACTTTCTGGGCCGTGTTAGAATCTCTGGAATTTCTGTGCCTTTATTATCTGACTCGGAGGCCATTGAGCTCCAGAGATACCCTCTTGATAAACGGGGCCCTTTTTCGCACATCAAGGGTGATATAGCACTCAAGATTTATGCAGTCCATGATGGTAGCTACTATCCTCCTCCTACTCCAACAAATGCTGGCAATTTTGAGACTGAAGCAACTCCAGTTTTTAAAGAAATCAACACCAACAAGCTTCAAGAAGAAGATGTCATTGATGATCATGAGAAGAAAAAGAAGAAGAAGAGGGATAAAGAAGTCAGGACTTTTCACTCTATAGGGACGGCAACTGGTGGTTATGCTGCTGCTGCCGCTCCACCTCCTGCGTCTTCCGGGTCCGGAGTTGAAACTCACGTTATGAAAGAAAAAGCTCCTACAGTTGAGACAAGGACTGATTTTGCTCGAGCTGGGCCGCCTACTGTAATGCAAATGCAATTGCCTAAGCAGAATCCGGAATTCTTGTTGGTAGAGACCAGTCCACCGCTGGCCGCACGTATGCGATACAGAGGAGGGGACAAGATGGCATGTACTTATGATTTGGTGGAGCAGATGCACTACTTGTATGTGAGTGTTGTTAAGGCCAGAGATCTTCCAGTTATGGATGTTTCTGGGAGCCTTGATCCATATGTTGAAGTCAAGCTTGGGAACTATAAAGGAAGGACTAAATACTTGGAGAAGAACCAAAACCCGGTGTGGAAGCAAATTTTTGCGTTCTCGAAGGAAAGATTGCAGTCCAATTTACTTGAAGTTACTGTGAAGGATAAGGATTTTGCCAAGGATGATTTTGTGGGCAGAGTATTTTTTGATCTATCAGAAGTCCCTCTTCGGGTGCCACCGGATAGTCCGCTGGCTCCTCAGTGGTACAGATTGGAGGACAAGAAGGGGTTCAAGACCAAAGGAGAGATTATGCTTGCAGTTTGGATGGGAACACAGGCTGATGAATCATTTCCTGAGGCATGGCATAGTGATGCTCATGACATTAGTCAGGTAAACCTTGCCAACACACGATCCAAGGTATACTTTTCACCGAAGCTGTATTACCTTCGAGTTCAAGTCATTGAAGCTCAAGATCTTGTCCCCTCCGATAAGAGCCGCATGCCGGAGGCGTATGTAAAAGTTCTACTTGGTAATCAGGGAAGGGTAACCAAGGGTCCACATATGCGAACCATCAATCCAATTTGGAATGATGAGCTTATGTTTGTTGCATCTGAGCCTTTTGAGGATTTAATAATCGTGTCTGTTGAGGACCGGTTGGGCAAGGATGAGATATTGGGAAGGGTGATTTTATCGGTTAGGGATGTCCCAACAAGACTTGAGACTCATAAGCTCCCAGATCCTCGCTGGTTTAATCTCCTTAGGCCTTCGTTGGCAGAAGAGAGTGAGAAGAGGAAAGAAAGGTTCTCAAGCAAGATCCTTCTCCGTATCTGTTTGGAGGCAGGATATCATGTCCTTGATGAGTCTACGCATTTTAGCAGCGATCTGCAGCCATCATCCAAGTTCCTGAGGAAGCAAAATATTGGAATCCTTGAAGTTGGGATTCTCAGTGCACGAAATTTGCTGCCAATGAAGGGGAAGGATGGTAGGACTACTGATGCATATTGTGTGGCAAAGTATGGCAACAAATGGATTCGAACCAGAACAATTCTTGATACTCTGACTCCGCGTTGGAACGAACAGTATACCTGGGATGTGTTTGATTCTTGCACTGTGATCACCATCGGTGTCTTTGACAATTGCCATATTAACGGAAGCAAAGATGGTGGAGAAGATCAGAGAATTGGGAAGGTAAGGATTCGGCTATCAACATTAGAAACTGATCGAATATACACACATTACTATCCACTGCTAGTTCTTACCCCCTCTGGATTAAGGAAGCATGGGGAACTTCACTTGGCTTTGAGGTTTACGTGCACAGCTTTTGTTAATATGATGGCACAATATGGCAAGCCATTGCTTCCGAAAATGCATTATGTCCAACCAATTTCTGTTAGGTACATTGATTGGCTTCGCCACCAGGCGATGCAAATAGTGGCCGCAAGGCTATCAAGAGCTGAGCCACCGCTTAGGCGTGAAACTGTGGAGTACATGTTGGATGTGGATTCCCATATGTGGAGTTTAAGGAGAAGCAAAGCTAATTTTCATCGCATAATGTCACTGCTTTCAGGAATCACGGCTATCTGTAAATGGTTTAATGACATTTGCCACTGGAGGAATCCCATAACAACATGTCTCGTGCACGTGTTGTTCTTCATTCTGGTTTGTTATCCAGAGTTGATTCTGCCCACAATTTTCCTCTATCTGTTTGTGATTGGGTTGTGGAACTATCGGTTCAGGCCAAGGCACCCGCCTCACATGGATACTAGGCTTTCGCAGGCAGACAGTGCGCATCCAGACGAACTTGATGAGGAATTTGATAAATTCCCAACAACCCGGCCAACAGATATTGTGAGGATGAGATATGATAGGCTGAGAAGTGTTGCAGGTAGAGTGCAGACAGTGGTTGGAGATTTGGCAAGCCAAGGGGAAAGAGCTCAGGCGCTACTAAGTTGGAGGGATCCAAGGGCTACGGCAATCTTCATCCTCCTGTCATTAATCTGGGCTGTGTTTATTTATGTCACTCCATTCCAGGTAGTGGCAGTGGTGGTTGGACTCTACTTGCTTCGACATCCCAGGTTCAGGAGCAAGATGCCCTCTGTGCCAGTCAACTTCTTCAAGAGATTACCGTCCAAATCGGATATGTTACTATGAATTGTAAACAACTATAACTTTAAACACCTTATTTGCTTGATTCTGGCCAAGGAAAGATGATCTAGTCTAGTAAATAATTCCACCAATGTCATGACAGCAGAAGACAGAAGACAAGCAGCTAGGTACTTTCTGGCCTGACACCCCAATCCACAAAAGAATATCGCTTTTGCTGAATATGCATAAAACCCACATCCCTTCAACCCCATGTATGAAACCCCACTATTCTTTTTTGCTCTTTATTCTAGATTCTGTACTATCAACGATCAATCATATTTTGTATTTCATGAATCATAAGCAATGCCTCAAAAAGTTGGCAAAACAAAAGCGGCAGCTACACACTGTGTGAAGCAGTTTCGAAGGTCAAGTATTGAATTTGTATGACAAAAAACTGAAGTGCTTAAAGCATATTAATCATTGCAAGAGAAAGGAGTGCATTACACAATTTCAAAGAGCTAGCAATTCAAAGTAGAATTGATTTAACAGAACTCTTGCCATTTACAACACAAAAATTTCCATACTCTGTCAAATCTTTCATGAAAATCCTCCCACAAAAATCTGGATAAAACACAACTTATGTAGTTCACTTGGATGGCAGAGTCTTATATCCAAGATTTATTAGTAAAGTTACAATAGTCAAAAAGCTGACAATTAATCCTCCTAGGAGTGCCCTATCGACAACACTCCACTCACCCAGTGCTACTTTGGGGCGTTCTAGCTTTTTCTTGGATCCCGAGGCAATACCATTCTCCACCGTTTTTTGTACCTGATTTTTTCGCTTTCTTAGTAACCATCCGATGAGATTTCTTCTATTTCGATCTTCTGGTAGCATGTCATTCTGCGAATCATCAATTTGTTCTAAAGTACTCTGTCCTCCACAGCCCTCTGGTCCACAAGCACAAGGTTCTGACTCTATTGAACACGCACAACTCTCACATGGGTCAGGACGGGAAGAACATTTGTCCTCAGTGAGCGTTTTCTCGGCTGACCTTGTTTTCTGATTTATTTGGTTGAGGGCCTCAATCACTTCTCCAAAAACGGACCACCTTCCAACGGAGGTTATCTTAACAATAGCTGAAGCACCCAGCAAGCTTTCTGGGGCAACTATGAGAACTTGCACGTATGATTTTGTGTGGCCAACCTTGGGAAATGAAAGAACTAATCAGTATGAAAATAAGAGGTTGAATCATAAGCTAAGAAAGTTCTCCATTCAGTTCAGAAAAAAGAAAAAAGAAGAAGCAAGTTCTCCATTTGAACTAAGGCGAGAAATGGAGGGGTGAGGGAATGGGCACTTGTTTTCAAGGCAATGTAAGCAAATTGATTTCAATAGAAACGAGTAGAACAAGATTTACCATGCAATCTTAGTAACCTTTTCATGATCGCCTAGTTGAAATCTATTTGACAATAAAATAAAAAAGCACCTTAGCCTTAGAACCAGAGCATTTCATTTAGATACTACCATCTTACCAAGTGAATTCCATCGGTTGCAATATCTGTTATCCATATTCTTTCCACTCTGCCCTCCATTCCATTATAAGGATCGAAAGCTTCAAACACAGAAGTCAATTCACGGCTTCGTTGCTTCACTACATTACTTGGGACCTTCTTCATCCTTGCAGCAGGTGTCCCTGGATTTCAAAAGCAGATTTAAAATAGAAAATAGCATAAAGTTGACGTAATTACACAGTTATCCATTATGGTGTGGGCACCACAGCTACAAATTTTCATAATACACTCAAGGTGAGTACATTACTAGAAGTCAAAGTGACCAAGATGTGCACACACGATGCAGCAGTCAGTCACACTACAACAAGAAATAAATGCGGTTTTTCTTTCATGTAATATGCATATGGTAGTCAGGAGCTTTCATAATGGATAGACAATTTTTCTCAATCGCAGCACATTATACACACAATGATTCCAAAACAAAAGGATAAGAAACATGAGAAAATAAACAAGTACACTGAACAACACCACTCATTATACATAATTAGAAGTGTAATGATAAAGTCTGAGCATAATGTGAAGTCATCAACAGCGTACCAGGTCTAGGATAGAACTGTGAAATATGAACTTGGGCAAACTTGTACTCTTTAATAAGACTAACAGTTTGAGCAAAATCTTCATCTGTTTCACCTGAGAAATCCAAGAAAAGTATGTCACCTCAAGTGCTACACCAAATACTTACTATAGAGGATGTTGTAAATGAATACAAACTTCCTGACAAAGTCCTAGACCTTCCAACTTCTTGTTCTCTCTCTACCATTAATTGATTCCTCCAAGTAATGTCCAAACCATTCATAAATAATCCAAAATAAGAATAGGAGTTCTTTTCCTCCAACATCATTGATACCCTCAATGATCAAATTTCTGCTTGAATTGTTCCTGAGTTATTCTTGAAAAATAACCAAAAAAAAAAAAAAAAAGGAAAAAGAACAAAAAAGCCTTACTTCTGTAATACTCCCTATGCCCATAATTATTGCCCTCAGCGATTCCAAAGGCCAACCGTTTGTAACCTTGACCTACTCTTTTTAATTGATTTTATTGACTGAATTTTCAAAAATTAAGTTTTAGAAACTTTCAAGTTAATATTTTGTTCCTTTTTTTTTTTTGTAACGTTTTTATCAAGGATTTACTAATATAAAAATGAAAACAAAAAACTAGCCGAAGTATGCTATATTGACAAGGGAAAGTCACAAGGGATCAATTATTACCTGACCAAGGGAGTACCAAATACCTCTAGTGGCATATCCGATTTCACAATCTAGAGATTACAAATGTCATATCGATATTTTAAATAATTTACTTGAGCAGTTTCACTTAAGAAGAGTACCAATAACTTCTATGTCATACTGTTCTAGAAAAATGCAATTAGCAAATTGAGATTTGATAAAAGCATGAAAAAGAAAGAACCAGGAAGTGGAAATTGCATCTGCAGACTAACCAGGGAATCCACATATTATATCAGTAGCAATCTGCATCCCTGGAACTAGCTCAGTCAAGGTATCAGCTACAGTCTTGAATTCACTCACAGTGTATTCTCGATTCATTGCCTGACAACAAGAACAGTTATGTCTACATAAGGAATTTCATATTATGATATTTTCTAGCAGCTACCCTTACGTAAATTATACAAATACAGCTGGAATCACTGTTAGAGTTACAGGGCTAGGGAGAAGCTACTATCAGCACTGAAAAGAAAAGATCAACGATAGTGGGACTTACAGTCAAAATGGCATCACTACCGGACTGCACTGGCACATGAAGAAAGGAGTATACACATGGATGGCGCAAAATTTCTGCTATCTCTTTTAAGTGCTCAAGAATAAAAGGTGGATTTGTCATCCCTATTCGAAGAATTGTGCTAGCGTCAGAAGGAAGTTCAGCAACAATAGCATTCAATAAAATTGGAAGATTAACCCCAATGTCACGACCTGTTAGATTTCAGGAAATTCAATCTGTTCAGCAGCTAGTATTGTGAAGAACTAGTATAATTAACATCTCAACTTAATTATTTTTCCAAGCATAACACATTTTTTCACAAGTCCTCAAACAAAACTCCGTCTGCTGAGCAGCAATATGCTATTTCACTGCATGATATAACATGGTGAATTTTATAATTATTTTTCCTTATTGGTAAGCAGTAGATATGTTTTTCACTTATTATTTTTCTAGTTTAGGGACTAGAAATATAATGATCAGTAGCACATTCAAACAGTAACATAGCAAAAAAGAGCAATGGCTGTTAATAGACCATGGAATGATGTGTAGCAAAATCATTTTAATAGAAAATCATGTAAAAGCAAGATTTCTGAACAGAAATAAATTTCAAATCAGCAATACCTACACAATAGCAGAGACCTAAAAGAAAAAAAATTAAAAAAATTACCATATGCTCCGGTGTCTTCACTACTCAACCATATTTCCTTTACTCCATCAGCTACAACTGTTTTTACACGCCCTGCCTGTGTATGAAGTTTTAATAATAAAATGAGAAAAAAAAATCAAACAGCAGCAATATGTACCAGTTGTCCATCTCATCAACTTACAAGACTGTCAACAGTGTAGCTCCCTAAATGCCCACGGGCATGCTTTGTCTTGCAATAAGTACAGGCCCCCAAACAACCAACATTAATTGGAAGAATCTCAATAAATTTATTCTTTCGGACCTGTCATGAGAATCCGGTTAAATGCATGGAAATTATGATGTTATCAAGAATAGATTGTGATTTTAGTAAATTAAGAAACAGAGCTATCCATTAAAAAACAAATAAAATCAACATTAAAGAACTTAATTGACCATCAAGAATAGATTGTGATTTTAGTTAATTAAGATACAGAGCTATTCATTAAAAAACAGATAAAATCAACATTAAAGGACCTTTTGAAGAAAATGTAAAAACATTACAATTCAAATCTAGAGTTTGCACCTTCGGGAGGTCAAGTGCCGGCAACGTCTTGCGGTTCAAAAGCCGCACTTCATGACCTTTTAAAGTCTCTTCTACAACTTCAACTACACGATCTATTTGCTGGACTCCAACTATACTGACTCCTTCTAATTCCTTCACATTCCGACTTCCTTGAGGCACACATCCAGCCACCACCAGTGGCTTTTTTGCACTTTTACCCTTTGATATTAGAGTGTCCATGGCAGATTGGCTAGGTGATTTTACAGTACATCTGCATCAGGGGATAAGAATCATTGATACTTCAGTAATAACAAGAAGTTGAATGCACAAACAGTGTTCTTCTTTATGCTGGAATAAGGGTGGGATTCATACTGGCAAAGGAACACAGAACAGATTACCTATGACTATTCAGCACAATGATAGCCATGATATAGACTGATGGCATGAATTCTACCCCAGAACTCTACAGTCATATCCAGATAGCTAGCAACTAAGCCAATTTTAGACTTTATTTAAAGATTTGATAGTGAATGCGTGAACAAGATCAAATAAGCACAACAAAGACAAGATTTGAAGTTCGACATCTGTCAATGCACAGACATTAAAATTTGTTAAAATCAGTCTATCAAACAATTACTTGTAGGCATCAGCAATCATTCTTCATAAAATTAAAAGACACTATGGGACAAATGAAGGATGCTCACGTATTGATCAGCCACAGGTCTGCCTCCTCAGGACTATCAGTTAATGAATAACCAAATGATGAAAGTTGTCCAGCCATATATTCACTATCACTCTGCCACCATTATCAACTGTGAGAAAAATAATTGACAAGAACGAAAAGGAGCTCACACTATTAAACTCTGATAGACAACAACTGCTGGAGATGCATAATCAACAAAGAACTTGTTAGCTTATAGCTCAAGCTCAATGACCTATAATGATAGGACAAGCCAGTATTTTTTAAAGTATAACTAGTAAAACATTTTATCTATGACTTAACTGTCATAAGATTACCACTACAACAGCACCTGGCACTGCATTTAATAGCTAAACACAACAAAGCTTTACCTTTCCCATGGTGAATGGTTTCAGATTCGACCTTCATCAATCATAACAATCTAGTAACTCATAACTCAAAACAAAATCCACTAAAACAGATTGAAAGTTCAGTTTAACCAAAATAAAAAATTTGTGTAATTATCCTTAACAAGTGTTCTATGCTCTCTCAATATTTCCAACAGAATCCTTCATGTACCAAAATTAAAACAACACCAGGTCCTAATTACAGAAATTAAGCATCTGGGTCACCACCAAATCTTGTAATATAGCTCATACAGCATCAATAAACCACTTAACAACCTCTAAAGGAAAAAAGAATTAAAGACTGAAATTAAAACATAAACTTGCCTGATTATGGGAGCATCCAAAAGTCTTGATATATATTGTCTGGAATAAACGACATTAAAAAAACATAATAAATACCAAAAATAAACATAAAAAGTAATAATAAGCACTAGGGAAAAAGGACCTGAGTGCCAGGAATCTTGGAAGAGAGAGGGGTATCAGAGAGTTGTTTCGCATTCAGTTTCGGTTTATTCTTGTTCTTCTTGGGGTTTACTCCAACTGCTTTCAGTGGCAACCTGAATCCAGGAGGAGACCCACTTCCATTAGCAATCAGCAAATCTTCAATGTCTTCCATTTCTTTCTTTGATTGTTTCTGCCCACCTGGAAAACTGCAGCAGCAGAGCGAGAGGTTTATGTCAGAAAGAGAGGGGGTTGGAGTTAAAATGGGTTTATCGATTTTGGGCCCGGGATGACCCGGATCAATCTCAAGATTGGTTTACAAAGACCTATTCGGAGAGTAGTCCTAAGCCCAAACCCAACAAATTTAGAATTACTTTCTTGCCCAAATTTCCCTCAAAACTTTCATTTTGTATGTTTTGATTGCTCATTTTAATCATTGTTTTGTCGTAAAACTAAAATGATTATTGTTAAAAAAAAAATCATAAATGCTTCTATAATAATATTTAGAAAAAAATATAATATTTTTTCATGAATAAATGAGAAAAAAGAAACTGAGAAAATGAAAGCATCATCTTTTATCACAATGCATGGGAATAGTTGTTTTAATTAAAATTAAAAGAAATTATTTTGAATTTTTATTTTAAAATAAATTTATTTTCTTATAGAATTAAAATAAACATAACACAAATATGAAAATAAATAATACTATTTTTTAAAGTTTTATTTTGATTATTACATAAATATTTAGTAATATCTAGAGTTGAAAAAAAAAAACTTGGGAGGAAAATAATTACGCACTAAAATTTATATTTTAGTATTACAAAAATGTAATATGTTCTCACTCTACTATTACTATTAGTAGTATAATATATATAAACTCTTCTATTTAAGGGAGTCATATTTTCAATAAAATCTATTTATTTGCCTAGAGCAAATGAAGTATACGACGTGAATGCAATCTTAATTCATAACCCTACTAACTTATAGTTTGATAATAATGGCATTAAGATCTATTATTCATGAATCTTTTTATTTTAAAATATTTTATTTAAATTATATATTACTTAAACAGAAGTTAATTCACATGTATGGATAGAAAATGTAATGTGACTAAAGGAATTTTTTTTTTTTAATGTTAGTATAGTTTGCCTAATGGAATAATAAAAATAGTGTGGATCTTTCAATTTAGAGTAACTAAAGTTTACTTAAACAATAACTAAGAATCTCCTATAAAGAAAAAACCAAGAATCCTATTTAATAATTTAATGAATTTTAATGTAATATATATATATATATGAATTTTGGTAGTCAAACGAAAGTGTCGATGAAATATTATATTAGTTTGAGATGATTTAAGAAGCTTATCATGTGTTATTTAAGATTTTACATGATTTTTTAATATGCATGTTGTTAAAATAGAGGAATGAGATATAACGACATAGAGAAGCACGAGAGAAGAGAAATGTATTTGCATTGATGATTCAAAATCATGCCTTACAATTCGGTGAGTTTCTCTTTAAATACAATAGTGTATGTTCTATAATATTTACAATAAGAAAATTAAATAACAAACTATCTAATCTGCATCATTCTTTACATGCTCATCATTGGTTGATGCGAGTCTCGACATGAAGAATTTTCCCAACTCCAAGCTTTTTGGATCGGTTGACAACCGGCACTTTTCAAGTTTGTGTGGGTCGATCAATACAATAAACACCCAGTGTGCATGGTGCGTATAACTAACTCTACTCTTAATTCATTCTGTTACTATTCCATGCATATCACAATGCATATTTCCCACACGCACATATTGCACATGCACATTTCAACACACCCCTCAAGTTTGACGATAGTATATATGTTTCTAATGCCAAACTTGGTTAATAAGTGTTTGTGTTGTTTACTCGCCTAAACCTTTTGTAAGGAGGTCTACTGGTTGCTCATCCATATGTATGTATTTAGTGACAAGTAGACCACTTGTTAACTTGTTCCCTCACTTAGTGGCAATCCAAGTCTATATGCTTTGTTATCTCATGAAAGACTAGATTGCTAGCAATAAATAGAGTCGACTTGTTGTCACAATATAGTGTTGTTGGTTTTAAGCTTTCCTCTCTCAAATCTTCAAATAACCTCACTATCTATATTATCTCACACACTATATTTGCCATTGCTCTATATTCCGATTTTGTCGATGACCTAGAGATAGTGTTTTGCTTCTTTGTCTTCCATGATATTGTAGAATCCCCTAACTTGACAAGAAATCCTAAAGCTGATTTCCTTGTCATATAACATGATGCCCAATTTGAATCACGAGTACACCTTTAGTTTCATTTGGCTTGTAAAAGACATCATCAATCCCATTCCCGAATCTCCTTTTAGATATCTTAGGACCCCGTGAGTCTGCTACCAAATGTGACTGCTTTGGCCTATACATGAATTGGCTTAGGAGATGTACAATATAGGAGAGGTTTGACCTAGTGATTGTAACATATATGAGCTTCCCTATAAGCCTCCGATAACTTGTAGGTCTACTATCTCTCGGATCCCTCACATCTCGCCTTAATTCCTTCATCAAACTCTACTCGTGATGAGTTTTAGATGCTTGCTCTATTGGTGTGTCTAGAGGCCTAGCATTGATCATTCCAGTTTCTTCAAGTAGTTCTAGAATGTATTTCCTTTGTGTCAAGCATATGTCTTCCTTCGATCTTGCTACCTCTATCCCTAGGAAGTATTTCGGGTCACCAAGATCCTTTATATGAAATTTCTTATGCAAACAAGTCTTCGAGTTGTTATCTCTTCTTCTTCATCTCTTGTGATGATAATGTCATCTACATACGCAAATAGAATAACCATTTTTCCACCATTCTTCTTTACAAAGAGTGAGTAGTCATTAAGTGATCGCTTGAATCCAAACTTGCAACATAGCCTCATAAAATTTCATGTTCCATTGTCCGCTGGCTTGTTTTAAGCCATACGAGAACTTAAGCAACTTGTAAACTTTCTACTCCTTCTTAATCTCAAACCCCTCCGGAATTGTCATATACACCTCTTCATTTAGATCTCCTTATAGAAAGGCATTCGTGACATCCATTTGCATTAGTTTCCAACTTTTCACAGTAGCTAAAGCAATAACGTGACCTTACTTGTCATCATCTTGAAAACTCGGTGAGAATGTCTCTTTGTAGTCAATTCCTTCCTTTTGAGTGTATCCTTTAGCAACTAGCCTTGCTTTATATATTTCAATGCTGCCATCCGACTTGCATTTCACCTTGTACACCCACTTGTATCTTATTGGTTTCTTCCCTTCGGCAGTGTTACCGGAACCCGTGTCTTGTTAAGAGTTAATGCATGCATTTCATTCCGCATAGCTTCAACCCATTTAGAGTCTTGTTTTGTGGTATGTATTTGGTTTTGTAACACGAGCTCGGTTTGATATGTATGTCTTGTATGTAGGTGATAGGTGTTCATAGGTTATATAATCTGTGATAGGGTAATTACCTTTCTTTCTTATTGTGATCGAGTTGCTTCCAAGGATGGTAAGACATTGATAATCACCTGGACCAAACTGGTAGGTGGGTTATTCTAGTAGATCTTCTTAGATTCATGTCATTTTGTGTTTCATGTTCGACAATGAGGGTGAGGTATTATGGAAATCAATTTCAAAAGAAGTGATTGATTGTGAAGGAATTGGTGGTACTTGTATATTGATAACG